CGGGAGGAAGGGGGGGGCGGGAAGCACAGCTGGGAGGGTGTAGGGGGCCTGGCCGGGGAAGATCAGGAGGGGAAGTGGAGGAGAACCAGCCGGCGGGGAGGGGGGGGGGTGAGCAAATTGGCCGGCGGGGAGCGGGACTGACCTGGGCACTTGCTGACTGTCCTGTGCAGGGTCCTGGCGACGCACGAGTGAGGAGGAGGCTTCCCCTCCTCCTCACACTCAACCAACTGAGGGCTCCCAGCAGCAATCGCGGCCCCGCCGCCCAGCTGGGACTTCCAGCTGCTCCCCCGCCCCGCCAGGCTTCCGTCTGGTGCGCAGCCGGAAAAATCAGAAAATACTGGACATTGCACATGTCCGGTATTTTCTGTTTTTTTTAACCGGACAGAGAGTGCAAATATCGAACTGTCTGGTACAATACCGGACACCTGTCAACCCTAGCTCTCACAGATGGAAAATCTTAGAGGGAATACTGGTTCTAATCATTTCCTCCAAACACAAATTATTCTGCTCTTCAGTACACAGCCCACAGGCCAGATCCGGTCCGCCAGGGTTAGCTCCAGCCAGGCCTCCACTGCTATATATACCTACCCCGGCCAATGGTATCAGTGTGAAGTGGTGTTCTGTTATGTACTTCTTCCTGACACTCTCACTGGCTGGGGAGGGCGATCCATGACCAATGGGAACTGCAATCACCAGTACCTGCAGCCGTGCAGGTAAATAAAGAGGTGGCTGCCCACCAGGGACTAATCTTAGTGAACTGCCACTGTGTTGTTGCCCACTCCTGCATTAAAGGCTATCATAAAATGCAGCGGCTACAGTTTTTGTCACTGTTACTTGCCATATCAGGAATTGCAACAAGTTCCTGAGAACAGGAATGAGAATGGTCAATTCTTGGTGTGTTTAAATAAGGGAAGATAATGTCAAGATCTCTAAAAATCAGGCAGTATATCTGTATTTTTGTAACACATGTGACAAACAAAAATTGAACACAAGTAAGATATCAATATGCTCCTACCCTCAGGCGGTGGTGAGGCAAATGTAACAGTCACTGTCTCTGTGAGAACAGTCCCACCATCTGTGGTCCACTGGAGCTGAAAAGAAAAAGACCTCAGTTCTCAGAAATGGAAGTGTTCTGACAGGATTCCCTACAGTACTGGTACAGATTCAAACGACAGTGAAAAATCAGGGTCCAAAACATCTTATTTCTTTATAGTGAATGCTGAGTTGTGGGGTTACTTTTTAAAACACTTAATACACTGTATTTTTTAATGAAGTGTAAAAACATATTCTGTCTGGTAAGCTACATCTTCAGAAGGGGGTAGACTTTAAAACTGAAAAGAGATACATTTTAAACACAAATTATTGGAAAATAATTCTCTTTACAGGCTGGAACTTGAATCCAAAGTTCTGCATATATCAGTAAAAAGTAGACAACATCAGAAACTCCTAAGAAGGGTAAAGGAATTCTGTGCCAGTCCTGCTTTAGGTGAGATCAGCTATTGCAAGAAAAACAGATAATAAAAAAACCCAAACAAACTTCTCAGCTTCTGTGTAAAATTCATTTCTGAATTAATCTCTTAAACAAAATGTTTTTACTTATGTTTTAAACCAAACATTCCAATTCACCTTGAAATACTATGAAATTAAAGTGCCACCAGATCAGCAATACCCAGCCTGAGGTTCTTGAAATGTCACTTAGCCCTGCATGCATTGGCTTTGAGTGAGGCATCACCCAGTGTTTGTCTGGGTCTGAATCAGCCAAAAACCCAGTGGGAGTGACCAAATCTTGATACCACTTCTCTACAACATACAATCAATCAATTGATAAATAAATATTCCAACCATCCATTCTTCATCACAGATGGATAAGGAATGCTGCAACCTCATCCTCTTTTCTCCTCCTCTCATGCCTACTTAGTCTTTCTCCTCCTCTCATGCCTACTTAGTCTTTTTTGAATGGAATAGACAATATTTTCATCCTCACTCACTATCCAGACCACATCACTCCACACTTCAAATTTCTCTACTGTCAGCCCCTCATATAGAGTAAAAATTTAGGATTCAAATTGCTATCGTAAAGGTTATGCCCCACCTTTATCTCAGCTCTACTGTATTACATCCCACCAGAAGGGATGCCAGTCTCTTAATTTCCTTCTTATCTCCATGCCATCCAGGATGGATAAAAATGGTTTAAAAACAGATTTTTCAATTTAAAATCAGATTATTTTGATATAATGCTTTTGGAGGAAAAAGCCTATCTAGTTTTAATTAAGATACATTATAGCTCAATAAGATCTCTCATCATGGAATAAGGATTATAAATTATAATTTTAAAGTATGAGACAATATACTCATGTAATGTTTAAGAAAAATTTTGTAAATGAGTTCTAATAGTTCATGAATTAGGGACCCAATCTTATGGGGTTCCATAGGCTTCTGCATAGACTATTTAGATTAATCTTTCTATCTACCCAATGAGACTCAGTGCTCAGTCTAGAAGACGCCATCTTAATGATGCTTAATTTTGCAGTTCTCAAACTGCAGTTACTAACAGCAAAAATATTTTTAAATACATAAATAGAGGTGAGAAATAACAGACCCCCAACCCGACTGTCCCTCTGTAAATTTATGTACACAGAGTCAATACCATACCCCTCTCTAAAAGTTTCAAAAAAATCAATGAATAGAAAATGATTGTTGGGAGTGGAATGGATCTGGACAAGGAGAAGAAGTCTGAAGATAAATGTGAGAAGGGAGGAACAGGGAGTAAAAACAAAAGTGAAACTGAGTAGCATATTCCATATGAAGGTCTTTCTGAGTGGAACCTTCATTGATTTGAGATCTACTGTACCATTCTCTCACTAAAAGGGAAAACCTATAATGGCAGCAGGCCGTAAAAGTAACCCAGTTTGGGAATATTTTAATGAAGTTCCTGAGTAATACTAACTGAGCAGTATGGTAATAAAAATTAAATAACTGCACTGACTTATTTTGTTTAGGAGACTCCATCATCAACACACAGGATTCCGAACACTATCCAACATCAAGATCAATATCATTTTCTATCGTTTCAGAGTTATCTACTAATGATAGGGTTTTGGTCACATCATGTATGTCACATAGCCACAGTACTGTATATAGCACCTGTAGCAAAAAGAAAAAAAATCTCCATCCTCCAGAAACAACCATTAGATTCGTTTGTGATAAGAACCATCAGATTAGAAAAGCGGTAACTGACTTAAAAAATGCCCAATTTGTTTATACAACAAACTCTTCTTTCCGTATCATTGAGACCCCACATTTCATTAACATGGTTCAGTCATTAAGACCAGGATACAGTTCATCTAACAAAGCAGATTCAGCAGCATGCAAAAAGTCTAAAAGGTAAAATTGTTAACCTGAGTCTTGATGGGTGGAGCAACGTCCACAATGATCCTTTTGAATGTGCTTGTGCAGAAGGGAATGTCTTCCTTACAGAAACAATTAATACATCAGGAAATGCACACATAGCAGAATATTTACAAGAAGTAAAGCAAGTTATAAAAACTGTGAAAAAAATTCAAAAGGTCACAAACAATGCTGCAAATGTACCCAAGATGAGAAGAAGTTTAGAAGAGAGTCCCAAGCAAATATCATACAGTTGCAGTGCTCATTTGAGGCACCTCTTAGCCAAAGACTTCAGTGTTCCAGAAATAAAGACCAATGTGTTGAAGTTGCAAAATACTTCCGTAACAACTACTTTGCAGTACTGTTCTGAAAAAAGTGGGAGGAACCAAGCTAACTCCCCCAGAAGACGTGCGACAGAAATCAGTAGAGGACTTTTTTGAACACTCTGTCAAGAACTGGCCTAATCTGATGACAGTTTGTGAACAAAGATTGTGAAAAAATAGACAACACTGTCACAGCCAAAGTTCTCAACATTGGGGGGTTTAAGAGAAATTTTGAACACATGCTGAATACTCTGAAGCCTATTTCTGTATCCATGAACAAAATGCAGGGAAATATCTGTTTTATTACTAATGCTGTTCAAATTTTGAAGGAACCGAGTGAGATTTTTGAAAAGAGAAATATATAATGATGGAGTTAAATTACAAGCTTTTAAAAAAAACAAATGGGACAAGCACTATCTCCAGCTCATTTTCTTACAAATATTCTCAATACTCAGTACCTGGGTTAAACCTTAACTGCTGAAGAAGAGGAGCTGGCTATGACATGGGCTTCCAACAATCATCCCTCCATAATGACAACTATAATAAACTTCAGGGCTAAAAGTGATCTATTTAAGAAATATGTTTGCTGATGATGTTTTAAAGAAAAAGTCACACCAGTGAACTGGTGGAAGTCACTTGAGCACTTGGATTAAGAGACTGTTGAAGTGATAATCAAACATTTAACAGCTGTAACTTGTTGTGCTGGTGTAGAAAGAATATTTTCTTCCTTTGGACTAATTCGTTTCAAATTAAGAAATTGTTTAGAACCTGAAAAAGCAGGAAATCTTGTTTTTCTTTTTTAGATGATGAACCAAAAGGAAAATGAAGGTGAAGACGACTGCGTTAGCAGCAGGAGCCAATATTTTATGTTTCTCCTGGATGATCTAATTTTTTTTAATATTCCTTTAACTATTTTAGTTAAAAACAATTGTAACAAAAAAACTGATTTAAAAAGTATTGAATGTTTAACTAAATTAAAAAATTCATTTGCTTGTTTTGCTAAAACATTAAGGCTGTGTCCATACTGCTGGCTTCCTGCACAAGAACATCTTGCACAAGGGTTTTTGTGCAAGAACACGTCCACACTGCCATGTGCGAGATGTGTTTTTGGGCAAGAGCACCCATGGCAGTGTGGATGCTCTCTTGCACAAGAAAGCTCTGATGGCCATTTTAGCCATAGGGCTTTCTTGCACAAGAATTCCTTGCCCAGCAAGAGCTTCTGCGCAAGAGGGCTTACACCTGTCATAAAAGAGCGTAGCTCTTGTGCAAGAAGCCCTCTCTTGCCACGCTGTACTGTAAATTTCCTTGTGCAAGAGCGGGCGGGCAATGTGGACGCTCTGGGGATTCTTGCGCAAGAGTGGCCATACTTGTGCAAGAAGCCGCGAGTGTAGACAGCCCAGATGTTTGCTATCGAAGAAAAAAAAATCCAGAATACATAACGTTGTTGTTTTAGTTAAATAAAACAGTTTAAATGTCTGTCTGGTGATGGTCTCTTCCCAATACAGCATAGCAAGAAAATCTTTCAAATATTAATGATTAACCTGTTGAAATGGAGATAGCTTACCTCCCAATGACTCTATAAATATCTGCTTCAATTATCTTTGGTAAATTAAATAACCAAACAATTATTCATTTTCTGATATAGCTTAAAACTAAATCTGAAAAGCTTTCAAAATAAAATCACTGTTTAAAAATGGATACTGTGTACCTTCTAAAAAGGAAATCTACATCTATCTCTGAGTTGAGAAGAATATTTATTAAGGTTATAATAACCAACAAGAATGCATTTTTATGCAGAAAACCATAATTAAATCAAGTCTTCCTGACTAGTGATTTAAAATCATGATTTAAATCAAATCTACCCTGATGCCATCACATACATCTGAAAAAGATTTCCAGCATGCAAGGCAACTATTCTTCATTCAAATCATAACTAAAAATCTCTCTTCTAAGGCTTACAAACACTAACCTGTGTTAATTTAACATCCTCACCAACCCATATCTCCCAGTGTGTGTCTCTTTTCCATGTGTTTCAGAGTTTTTGTCTCATCTTTGGCTCTTTAATGTTAACATTTAGGCTCAATCTTAAGCATGCATCCAATTTACAGAACCAAAAGGCACTTGGGGGAAGGAAAGGAGGGCCTGTCTATGATGGCAATCTATAAAATAAAATCTTGTCCACACTGCACTCAGGCGGAGCTGAGTTTTCCAGTTCCTTGGCAATTCTTTCACAGCTAATAAAAATCCTGTCTTACAATTGGAGAAATCATTGTCAATGACTGTCCAAAATTGTTCTGAATGTGAAAAGAGAATTAAGGGGCAACATATATTGGGGTATAATGCAGTTGTACAGATTTAAGTTTTGTATTTATTATTAGACATATTTACTACAAGTACAGTAATACTTAGCATTAACTAGGGATGTTAAAATGCAGTTAATTGACTAGCTGAGTAGTTGATGGAATTCCATCAACTACTCAGCTAGTCAATTAACTGCATTTTAACATCCCTAGTTAATGCTAAGTATTACTGTACTTGTAGTAAATATGTCTAATAATAAATACAATGAGGCCAGCAGGAAGTCCCGGTAACTCCGGGCTGCACGCACGTATCTGCTTTGAAATGCAGAAGAGTCCCCAGCAGGGCCTCTTGTGCATTTCAAAGCCATAGAGCCCGGGGTTAGCTGGGAACTACCCAGCCAACCCCAGGTTCCACGCGGCATTTCAGTGGAACCCAGGATCAGCTGAGGACTGGAGTCCCCACCTGACCCTGGGCTAAACGGTGCTTCAGTGTTTTAAAAGCACAGCTGAACCATGGATCAGCTAGGCAGCACTGCCGCTTTGAAGTACCCCTTCCTCCCTCCTGTGGTGCCTCTATTTCATAGAGGTGGCGGCGGGTGGGGAGGGGGAAATCGACTAGTCAACAGACTATCCAATAAGCAAATGCTTATCAGATAGTTGACTAGTCCTTAACATCCTTAGCATTAACATAGCACTTTACACATTCAAAACACTAAGTTTGATCCCCATTTTACAAAAGGGATCTTGTGAAGTAACTTCTCCAAGGAAACACTGATAGAACTAGGACTGAAACTCAGGATCTCTGAATGCTGGGCTCGTTTCTTCTACCTAACTTCCTTACATTAATGTTCTCAATATTACCTCAATATTGCATAAATTATCAATTGTTAGCAACATATATTGTATGGTTACTAAAAGCTTCAATTTAATCTAGTGTTACTCAGGCAAAACTTCCTTTAAAAATTTAACTAATGGGCATACAAGGTCAGTGGGAGCTTTGGCTGAATAAGGACCAAGTAGTAAAATTTAAGTAAGGTCTTCAGGATTCATGTCAGAGATTCGTAAAGAAAAAAGGAGAAGAGAGCATAAAGCTTCAATAATACCGTTGCTGGGATGCTTTCTGCATTATAGACCATCTCCCCATTTCCCAGGGACTTCTGCACCTCATGGATGTGGTTCTTGATATCATTCACAGTTGGGAAGAAGGACAAGTTATGCCTCTCTGGTACTTCATCAGGCTTGAATAATTCTCGTTCCACAAACTTTCTGTCAAGCATTGGAAAGGAGAGGGAGGGAAAAAAGGAGCTGTCAAAAGTTCACACACACACATACTATAATAGGAAGGGTTTCTCCCTCTTCTGCAACCATCTCTGTCTCTGCTATCAAATATGTTCCAAACATGTTAAAAATGACAAGAACAAATTAGTAGATCTCCTGACCTGGCTCCTCTCCTCTAACACGCTGGAAATTTTACAGAGCTAACTCAATAATCTGTAAATTTTCAACACTAAGAAGAAAAGCAGGCCAAGATAGTGACCTGATATAGGCAGTGTGAAGAGCTGAAATACTAAGTAAATGCATCTAAGGTAAAGTCCAATATAAACCAGCGATGATAATGCCATATGCAAGGATAAATTCATGTAATGCTATTTGTGAGGATAGATTCATGAAAGAATCAGCATTGCCACATAGTTTCCAAGTCAAATTAATGGAACATATAGTTGATTCAGTGCTGTGGAAAGAAGGCAGAATAGTTAGAGTAGATTATGCAATACCTTAGTTGTTTCCTCACTGCATAGACTTGTTCTATTCCCTGAGTCACCAGTTCTCGAATCTTATCCGCTACTTGTGGGTGAAGTCGGGAGGGTAAAGTACAGTTCTCATCTCTCAATACATCTTCCTCTTCCTCAGGAGACGATATGGGGAAAGCAGACGGTGAAGGAGGGAGGCAGGTCTCCATTTCATGATATTGGTGGGCCTGCTGGGTGGGTAATTGCACATACCATCTGACGAGAATGAGAGTTTTCAGATATAATTACAAAGCAAAGACAGTAAAACAAAATCATTTATTTAAATCCTTCCCCAAGAATGCTATTGAATTAAGTCCATCCAATCAGGCCATCAACAAGACCTGCGTGCGCGCACGTACACACGCACACAGCAGCATTCATTACTAACACACAGTTTTCTCCCATCCTTAAATAGGGACAACGACTATCTTTCCTTTGTATGACACCAAACATGTAGTTCATACTTAAAGCAACAACCAGCTTTTACATAATTTTGAGTACAATCTAAAATACACTCCTCATATTAGTATTTTCTTTCTAGAAGCTCTACATCTGTGCCCCCAAAACTTCCTTAAAAAGAGTATAATCCTGATGTATAGATTTTGGGCTTGGAACCTGAAGGGACTATTAATTGAGCCACCCCTCTCACCGAATCACTGTACTGCATTGAGTAGTCCATCCTCACCGCCATAGCTCCTGCTAAGGGGCATGCTCACGCACATAATTTCTTCCCCCACCCACCTGCTCTGGAGAGCTACGCAGCAACACTCATGCAGCAGGTGACTGCTCCAGCGGGCGGGGCTGGCTGAGATGGCGTGGTGAGGGAGCTGCTGATGCAGGGGGCTGGGACTTGCTGCGGCCGTGTGGGGAGGCCTGCTCCAGTGGCGGGGGAGGGGCTGCCACATGGCAGGAGGGCTGGGGTCTGTTCTGGTGGCTGAGGCTTGGAACGAGACCTGCCACATGGCTCAGGGGAGGAGTGTCTGCTCCAACAGCCAGGAACAGGACATGCTGCATGACTGGGAGGGGAGGGGGGTCAGGGTCTGCTCCGGCGGCTAGGAAGCGGGGGTGGAGGGGTTTCTGCTCTGGTAGTCGGGAACATGTGTGTGTTGTTAAATTGGATGCCACGGAGGCACACATCCAAACCAGCGCACATGACCTCAATATTGGTACACAAACCAAAACTCACTCCACGTGTGGTTGGAAAATGTTAGGGCTAACCACTAGATTCCATGCCAGTGATCCTCTTCAATTGAAAAGTGTCTTATCGATCTACATGAGGTGTCTATTGAGCTCTTCCTCTTCCATTTCCCCAGTTCCACATAATACTTTGTAGAACTCCCTAGTCCTGATGACTCAATGATAGACGGAATCAACTGGGAATCACACACAGCTCTTCCAAATAACAATGCAGACATGCAGAGGGTGCTCAATCAGTCCATAATGGAGGCCTCTTAATCAGTGATGTGACACCACATGCTTTCTGGCCAATATGTAGATAAAACACACAAATATAGTTGCTCCCATGGACAGTGTAATAGAAACATGGAGGGTCCAACTATACCTTTCTTTTGGAAAGGCTGTGGAACAAATCACAAGAAGTGTGGTATGATCATTAAAGAAAGATTGGACAGCATACTACCAGGGTGTGCTGCTGGTTAGGCAACTGACTTGCTTTGTAGCTTTGAACAAATCATTAAACCTCACTATGCCTCAATCTCCCAGTCTATAAAATAGGAATAATAATAATTAGCTACTTTGCAGGGAAGCATGAGGCTTAATCGTGAAGTGCTTTCAGATCCTCAGATAAAAGACTGACAGTTTTATTCCACTTTTAGTATTTTATGTAATACTTTTACGTACAGCACATAAGCAAAAAATAATGTTTATATAATATTAATTTACAATGACAAAGATTCACTAACACTTCGCTCACTCCATTTTGCCTAAGTATTATAAGCAAATATGGGGCTTGATTCATCTCTGCAAACAGAAAGGGGTTAAACACTTCTTTTAACTCACAGAGAGGAGATTCCTCTCTTAGAAAAGCTAGACAGTAGTACTGCTGCTGCCCTTTGTGAGAGGGAACTGCTTCCATTTGCAGTTACTCCTTCAATAGGGCTACACAGATAGAACCCAGAGTTCTTTAGCCTTGTTTTCACCCTGAGAAAAATACTGTTCCAAGTCCCATAACGGAGTATAATTTTGTAAAATATCCTCACCCTATGACCTTTCCTGGGCAGACATTGTGCCACTATGTGACTGCATTTTGCTGGTAGAAGTGAATCAAATGTGGACGATCAAACCTTTCATGGAGATCCCAGCTATACGTATCCATTAAAGAGCATCAGCCCTAATTCAAGTTGCATTCCTCTTTACAATTTTAATATGGCTCTTGAAACTAACATGATCTTCACCAAAAATTATTAATGTTCCCCTCCTCCCGCCCACCTCACTATAGTTGTAAGCAAATAGTGTAAATGGGTTAAGTAGTTCAACCCTTTACTTGCGAATACTCCCACTGATGTCAATAGGTCTATGCACAAATGTTCTATTCACATGGATAAGGATTTGAAGGGGGAAAAGACCCTTATTCTTGTGGCTGTCAGGCTCCTAGCAGAAGTTACAACTATGATTTGTTTATTTACATTTTAAAAAGTTTGGCCCAGATCCTTGACTGTGGATCAGCAATGTTTAGCACAATTCAGCTTGGGGAAGGGTTTGTGTGGTGGTTTATGCACACAGAAAGATGATTTTATATCACCTTTATTCTCCTTTGATCCCAGGGCTACTCTGATCCCCGGGGCATAAGGAAGAACTGATCTGAGGCTCTGCAACCTCATGATGGCTGCTAACAGATGCAAGGATAAAGGACTGTTCTGACCATAGCCTCTTCTCCCAGCCATGTTCTCCCCAGCCACAGGAAGACAGGTTGGGAAGAAGCTATTATATCAACATACAGCATTTAAAGATCCTTCCATACTGGGTGGGAATGATCCTCTTACAGCCAGCTGCCTTTGGGGCACAAAGCCATCCAGGTGGCTCATTGTTGGTAATGCCCAAAATTCTATAAGTATTCTGAGCATATTTTACATAATTCCCACAGTATGATATGTTTCTTTGTGAATAGTTTTCCACCTTTTACAATACATTTTAATGAAGACCCTTTTTTTAAAAAAAAGCCAAACAACTGATTTTCCCCTCTCCCCTTTCTATTTTTCAAGTTAGAGCAATGAGTGGAAATTTCACCTGAGGACTCCTCCAGCATCTATCAAGTTCTTCTTCAGCATGTTGAAAGCTTTCTCTTGTTCCATTCTTATGATTTTCTTGTCGATTTTGGGATCAGTGGGGACTCTATACTCAGGAAACTTTTGTACCTTTTTAATATAGATACTTCCAAGAAAAAACAAAAACAGAGGAATTCAGCTTCATTATATATCTACCTCAGGAAGGCAGAATCATTAGATATTTAATTTCTGCTTACTTTTATTGCAAAGAAGCAGTAGGGAACTCAAGCAGAGAGAGATTCAAAAAGTGGAGAAACCCCAGAAGTACTCTCTAGGATTTCTCAGTCAGGTGAGAAGTGATCTAAAACAATGGTTCCCAATTGCCAGTCCGCAGACCAGTGCTGGTCCATGAACTGCTGGCTGCTGGGCTGCAGCAGCTGCTTTAGCAGCTTCCACTACGGCAGCCATAGCAGCTGATTTTGCCTGGTGGTGGCACTGGGGCTAAGACAGCGGCAGGAAGAGGTGCCTATCTCCCTCCATCCCCCCAGGTAAGATGGTGGCCTCTCCAGGGCTCTGCGCTCCACGCCGCCTCTACCTATGGGGGCGTGAAACATTCTTGGGAGGGAGGGGGTGCAAAGGAGGAGAAAGCATGTGTGCTGCCAACGGCAATTCCCCCTGCCTGCATAGCAGTAACGGTCATACTCCCTTGCTCTGGGAAGTGTGGAGGTGGGGTGGGGTCAAAAGGCAAAGGGGTGTTGGGTGAGGGCATGATGGGGTCATGGGGCAAGAGGATGTTGGCATGGGCTGTGGGGGTCAGAGGTTCTGGGACTTAGGGTATTAGGCACTGGAGAGCAAGGGGCTGGGTTGGAGTTAGGGGTTAAAGGAGAGGGCAGGGGCTAGAGGTCAAAGGACAAGAGGGGGGTGGGTTGCAGTAGGTCAGTGATTATGAAGCCAGATGTGGCGCAGCTTGTGCTTCTGTCTCAGGGGGCAGCAGATCTGAGGGTGTCTAAGCAGGGTTGGGGGCCTCAGAGCTTGTGAAACAGACAGTTGCAAGGTCAGTGGGGCAGGATCAGGGTTTGGCACAACAGGCAGTCATGGAGATTGTGGATGACTCCATGACTGGGAGTGGTGGGGCAGGATTTGGGGAAATGGGAAGTTGTCAATTTAAGTCAGGGGTCGCTAGTGACAGCAGATGCAGGACAGGCTCCAGGCATGACAAAGGTGCTTGCCAAAAGAAAGTCGGCAGCAGGGGGTATTGGGAAGCAGGAGACAGTGGGTGCTGGGGTGACAGGCTTGTCAAGACAGACTTATGTGGTAATGGGGTTAGTAGGATACAAGGGATATCAGATGATGGGTTTGGCAGGTTTAATAATAGGGTTGGCTGGATGGGGGTCAGAGGGTTCTGTGGTTGGAGGTAGAGTGATGTGCAATAACAAGACGGGGTCAGTGGGTGAGTGGGTTGGTGGACAGGTAACATTATTTGCATATTTATTCACATAATGAATATGCAAATTAAATGATATCAGTCCGCCAAAAGTCTGTAAATGGGTTTGATGGTCCGCAGTATAAAAAAGGTTGGGAACCACGGATCTAGTGGTGTAGAGCCATACCTGAACCCAGGAAGTTGATAGCAGAAAGTTTACGGGGGAGATGAGAATCAAGAAGATGCCACTGGAATTGCATAGGCAGAGGTGTTTGGTGAATTTGCTTATTCCCTGATAAGCAAAACTCCAAAATAAGATTTAGGAGGGTATGTCTACACTTGCTCACTCTTTCGAGAGAGGGATACAAATGAAGACATTCGAAATTGCAAATGAAGCCGGGATTTAAATATCCCATGCTTCATTTGCATATTCATGTTATGGCGCTATTTCGAAATAGCGCTATTTTGAAATAACACACTGTTAAGTTGAGGTTATTTTGAGAGAAAACCCTTCTCTCGAAATAACTGGTAATTTCGAGAGAAGGGTTTTCTCTCGAAATAACTACGTCTTAACAGCGTCTGTTGTTTCAAAATAGCGCCATAATGCAAATATGCAAATGAAGCGTGGGATATTTAAATCCCAGCTTCATACGCAATTTTGAATGTCTTCATTTGCATCCCTCGCTCGAAAGAGGGTGTAAATGTAAACATACCCTGACACCTATCATATTCTAGCCACATCCACTTTCACAGGAACTTACCCTCTTTCTCTCTAAATGAGCACCAACTCCTACTTGTATCGGAGACAAAATATAATTATAGAGCTTTGTCACTATAATGCCATGCAATTATCAGTGAGTTTTCTTGAGATCCAAGCTCTCATATCAATTACTAAAGTCTCCAGACCAGAGCCATGCCAATTTCAGCTTTGTAGCTAATGCTTACCGTGCTGGACAAGTGGCTTTGTACAACTGGCAGGCGGCATTTTCCATCTCACTAGTTTTTTTGGGCTGGAAACCTTTCCTCCTTGGCCCGTACTGGCATTCCATCACAATGGCTCTGCTTCCTGTGGACAGAAAGCAACTGTCTCTATTATTAATTCCAACAGCTACTGGTTCCTACCAGCAGATAACAACAAAATAGACTTCTGAGGAGAAAAGAGTGATTTGAAGCACTTATTTTTATACTCTTCCTGGAAGAGCACTCGGGATGCCTGAGTTACAGAATTTCTGCTTTTCCCGTAATTCTATTCAGCACTTATAACACGTCAGTTTTCCAAAGGACTTTCCAAACTAGTTAATCTTCACAAAATTCCTGTAAGATAGGTAATTAAATATTATCATAATCATTTTAGAAAGGTGAAAATTGACACAAACTTGTAAAGACAGATTCTGCCACCTTTACTCAGCAACTAGTGCTAAACGTAATATGAGTAGTCTTATGGGCTATTTAATGAATAAGTTGTTTGTACTAACAACAAGTAGAGGTGACAGAATCTGATCCTAAATTGTACAACAAATCAAAGGCACTGCTGAAATCAGATCTTGGGAGTTCCTTACTTCATATACCATGTTCAATTCTTTAGCCTTGCTGGTCATTATGGTTTGTGACTTTAATGCCAGTTTCTTCAGTTAACATATATTGCATCAATATGGTACCCAAAATAAATAATACTGTGCAAGAAACACAGAGTTCCATAACGTTTTTGAAAACTTCATTAAAATAATTTTCTTGAGTCAGACTTATTGCAAAGAAGAGTGAAGTAATAAATGTAATCTGACAGAGCTGGGAAGAGAACATGGATTTTGTTCTGAACGATATTTAACTTTTTCCCTAGTATCCCCTATTCATAATCCAAATACTTTAGCATCTTGATTTTGAAATATAATTTTCTAGCTTTGAAATAACAGATGTGTTTCTTGTGTCACACTGCTGAGACAGAAGGTGATACAAAATGATCTAATGTATATAAAAATGTTTTTCCTGTGGGACACAGAGTGACGTCATTATGTCACTCTGACATCCCACCGGCTCCGCCCTTGCACAGCTTCCCTGCCCCAGACACCGTTTGGGGACGGCAAAGCTGCCTGGCAGGGCAGATTCTACCTTGGGGCCCTGACACTCTGGGACCCAGTGAGCAACTGCCATCTCCGGTTGCCAGGCCAGGGCCATGGGAGTGCTTGGGCCACCACCTGCCTGGCACTCC